CACCTGCTCTCTCTCTCTCTCTCTCTCTCGCTCGCTTCCTCGTTGTCTGCGCCGGCTGCCCCACCGACCTGCCGCCTCGCGCAGACGCGGGCCGACGAGCAGGGGGGCCCAGGGTCCGGGAGCGCCGAGAGCAGATTGCGGGGATGCTGCGGGCAGGTTGCGGGCAGGTTGCGGGCAGGTTGCGGGCAGGTTGCGAGCAGATTGCGGGATGCTTACGGGCAGATTGCGGGCAGATTGCGGGCAGATTGCGGGCAGATTGCGGGCAGCTTGCGGGCAGGTTGCGGGCAGATTGCGGGCAGATTGCGGGCAGATTGTGCACACTTGTGACTGGTTTTCGTGACTCCTCCTACCTACTCCAATTCCCCGATCCTCACATCGCCATGTCCATCCAATGCTGCCCGATCTACTTCGCTGGATTAGTATCACATCTGTTCTGTCCCCCTCGTAGGCCACCTCACTTCTACTCCGCAATGTTGGTTCTCTCCTCGTTGCCCTCCTCCTCCTCCTCCTCCTCCTCCTCCTCCTCCTCCTCCACCTCCTCCGTTTTTTTCCGACGCGCCCCAGGTGACCGTGGGGTCCTGGCAGGCGACGCGGGAGGCCAACAAGATGAAGAGACCCGCGGCGGAGACCCCCTCCTCGGCCGACACCGCTCCAGCGGAGGCTGCAGCGGAGGCGGGTTCTGCAGCGGGCAGCGTAGAGATGTGGTCAGGAGCGAACGCCGACGGCGTCAAGGTCTGGGTGAAAGCAATTTGGGACGGGCCCAAGGACTCCGTCAAGAAACGGCTCATCCAGATCCACATGAAAGATGCACCGCAAGTATGTCAAGTGAACGCTGCCTGGCTCCAGTCAGAGAGCGAGGCTGTGACGTATATCAACGGCCTGGCTCAACGTTTTGCCCGAGTGGAGATAGACAAAGCCGGGTGTGAGACTGGTAAGCTCAAGTATAAGCCCCAAGCAAAATCAGCTTCAAACAAAAAGCCAGCGATGAGGTTGCCGCAAAGAAACCAGCCTGCATGAACGACGCAGCCATCCCACCATGTGAGCACCCGCTGCCGCCAACGACGCCACCGAGGAAGAAGCCCCGTGAGACGCCGACCGCAGACAGCAGCGTTGGCGACCCCGCAGGCGGCGACTATGCATGCGGCACCCGCATTGACAGGCCAGACTAAGGTCTTTTCAAGCATCTGTGAGTCAGGCGTTGTAAACGCCCGTGTTCCGCCAGCACGCGCCCGCAAAACTCAAATCAATAAACGCATGTTATGACGGGCTGGCGTCCAACAAAATAATGGGCGCACACGCGCGATGTTAATGCTTTCTGCGCGAAGTGTGCAGCCAGTGCTGCTTCGCACTCGACCGCCCTTCTTCTGGAGCGCCCTCCTGTCCCGTGGACTCTTGCGAGGGGCGTCGTCGAACAGACTGGCTAACGAACAAAACACAGCAGCGCAAATCGCCCTGGTCATATGATCCAGCGCCAAAGGGAGAGGGCAGAGAGGGAAGAGGAAAAGGAAGAGGAAAAGGAAGAGGAAGAAGAGAAAATTCCTCCACCATCCCCTCCTCCTCTCGACCTTCAGCAATCCTCCTCCCGTGTTCAGCTTGCCTCCGTCCTTTTCTCTGCGTTCTACCTGTCCATTGTCCTTCTCCCTCTCTAGCCCCTGTCCCTGGAGGTCGCCTTCCATCTTCCTCTGGCTGTTGTTTCATGGGTCCCAGGGCCCAGGGGCCTCGTTTGTCGGGAAGGTTTGTGGGGCAAGCCTCAGCCGTTTGCGATCGCTCGAGATGTCCCTCCAGAATGCCATTGAACGGATGGAGGCCAAGCAGGGCGCCATGGACAGGCGTGCTGCGCTTTGGGCGCAGGCTGGTCTGGCTGCAGGGACGTTCGCTGGGGCTCGCGAGGTAACCAGGGGAAACCTTCCCAGGGACTCAGTGCATCCAGGGGCAGTCGGAGGATAGGGACGACGAGGATGAGGCAGATGATGAAGATGAGGAGGAGGTGGAAGGCGATGATGATGATGATGATGATGATGATGATGATGATGATGATGATGATGATGATGATGATGATGATGCTGATGCTGATGCTGATGCTGATGCTGATGCTGATGCTGATGCTGATGCTGATGCTGATGATGCTGATGATGCTGATGATGATGATGACGACGACGACGCCGCCGACGACGACGACGGCGATGATGATGATGATGATGATGAGGAGGAGGAGGAGGATGAGGAGGAGGAGGAGGATGGTGATGATGATGATGGTGATGAGGAGAAGGAGGAGCATGGAAACTCGGT